GCTTATTACAAGAGATTAAGATTTTCCTTCTTGATAAACACCCTGTATTAGTTACTTTTTTGTTGTTATGATAAATCACCATAACCAAGGCAATTCATAGAATGAAAAATATATTGGGCTCATGGTTCAAGAGGGTTAAGAGTCCATCATGACAGGGAGGCATGATAGGAGGTAGCAGGAGAGGTAGCTCTCAGGTAGCTGAGAGCTCACATCTTGCAGCAAGCAGAGGAGACGATGAGACAAACTTGAAATGAGGCAAGGCTAAAGCCCACTCCCAGTGACAAGCTTCCTCCAGCAAGGCCACCCACACTTCCCAAACCTCTTAAAACAGAGTCACCAACTGGGGACAAAGTGTTCAAATACTTGGAAACTATGTGGACGTTCCATATAGTAACTATTATATTGATTTCTTTCACCGGAGTGGGGGGGAGAGAACCCAAATCAATAAAATCCTTTCATTGATGGTATAATCTTTCCCCCCCTTTCTTCCCCCCTTTTTTTTCTTTTTCCTTTTTGTCTTTTTGAGACAGGGTCCCCCTGTAGTGACAGCTGGCCTGAACTCCTTATGTAGTCCAGGTTGGCCTTAATCTCATAGAGGTCCGCCTGCCTCTGCTTCCCAAGTGCTGAGATTAAAGGTGTGCCCCTGGCCTTTATTGGTATGGTATTTTAAAACTATTATTATTATTATTTCTTCTCCTCCTCCTTTTTTTCCTCCCCCGTTTCCTCTTCTTCCTTCCCCTTCTCCTCCCATTTTCCATTTTCTCCTCCCTCTTTTTCTTCTTCTTCCTCCTCCTCTTCACCCCCCTCCCTCCTCCCTCCTCTTTCCTCTGTTGTCTCTTCTTCCTTCTTCCTCCTCCTTCTTCTTTAATCAACATTACTTCTCTCCTGGTCTGGGCTCCTGGCCATAAAACATGCTAGTCTTCCCTTCCCTTAACTCTGGATCACCCTCCCCTCTCTCTATGCCCCGTAAAAGTCTCTAACACTGCCCTTGTAACTGAATCTCTCCCTCATAAATCCACTGCAACTATGTGAATTGAATCAATATTTTTCAAACTGCTAAATTGTCCAATCCTTTCTTCTTTTACCCAGTGAGTCCTACAGTCCTCACTAACTCTTAGTATCTCCTAAAATGCCCTCTTCATTCAACTTTTTTTTCCTGGTTATTCATTCTGTTTAACTTTAAGGAAAATATTCTTTGGGATTCCATTTTTTTATATGCCATGAAATTCCTGGAAAATTTAATCTACAACCTGATTGTAGGCAGTTACAAATACTGCTTACTAGGGCTGGAGAGATGGCCCAGTGGTTAAGAGTACTGGCTGCTTTTGTACAGGACTCAGGTTCAATTCCCAGCACCCACATGGCAGCTAACAACTGTCTGTAACTTCAGTTCCAGGGGATCTGATGCCCTCTTCTGACCTCCTTGGGCACTGCACAACACAGGTGTACCTACATGCATGTAGGCAATACACTCTACACATAAAGTAAAAATTAAAAAAAAAAATACTGCATGGTAGATATTTCCAACTCTTCCTGTTCTTTTCTGACCATTTGAATTTAGCTGAGGCCAATTCATTGCTTTGGCTAAAGAAATCGGGCCTACGTTGTTCATTTGCAGAAAACTTAGGAATCAGGATATAGATGCCGTTCTTCTTATCCCAGTGGGTAGGTCCCTGATGAGCAAGCACCCTGCCAGATGGAGTAGACACAAAATATATATAGGACTGCTATAGAAGCCACCAAAGTTTGGGCAGTGTATCATCCATGGGTTAGCTTATCCTGATTTGCAAACACTTAATCCCGACCCCCCAATCCAAAAAAAAAAAAAAAATATATATATATATATATCACTAATTCAGAAAATAAATATATCCATTTTGAGCCATAGGTGCTAACAATAAACTCTATAACTAATCTCAACTAACTACCCCATCAATCAAGTGTCCTTACTTAGGATAGCTGCCAGAATTGCACATTCAAGACATTTTTGTTTCCCTGAAGAAATCCAACAAAACTTGGGTAAATAATCAGATTTCCCTCTGAAATGTTTAGTTTTGTTTGCACTAGTCTTTGAAATCTAAAACCTACTGAAGAACATTGGGATCTAGTTTTCAAAAAATAATATCTCACAAAAGCACAAACACTCATTTCTACTTTCTCCTGTATAGTTAGGGTAAATTATTAAACGTTCTTTCACAATCAGCACCTCCCTCTGGATAAGTCCTAGCTTTTTTTGGCCACTGTAGCATGCCTTACATAAGTCCTTCTCTGAATTTAACTCCTATAAAAATGGAAAGATTTCATTACATATACAAATACATGTAATTCATTTCTCTCTTGAATTATTCTTTAATTTAAAAAAAAAACTGTTTAAAGGTCAAGCCTGAGAAATGCCTTTTAGGAAGCCTCACTGTTAGCAGGCTTAGTTGCACAAAGAATGCCCTCCTGAGCACAGGTCTGCCATTACACTACCTCCTTTAGGAGGTACTGTATGGATGTACAAACTCAGATGGACAAATTTCAGAAAAGTGCTCAAAGTGTTCTATAGGCCTCAACTGTCACTACTATGCAAGTGACTAGAAGGGGAGAGAACTGAACACCAAATAAGCCCCAAGGGGATCTGATATCCCTTCTGGCCTCCATGGGCACCAGACACTCAGGTGGTTTTTTAAAAAACTGAGGGAAGAATAAAAGAAGAAGGAGAGATGGTAAGAGAAAAGGATAGCTGCTGAGAATTTCTAGGCTACACAGACTAGAACACAGTACCTTGCACAAATTAATCACTAATATGTCTTAACTGAAATGAGGATTAGGTTAAAACACAACACTGAAAATATTTAACTACCTAGAAAAACATTAAGAGTCGTAATGCAACATCCATTGAGCACTTGTCAGGTGGCAAGTTCTTTTCTAATAGCAATGCATACATGATCTTATTCTCAATCATATATAGGCACTGTCTCCATTTTATAGATGTGGAAATAGATGCAGAATTTAGGCTTTTTCCCAAGGCCCAGAAACTGGTCAATGGCAAAGCTTGGATTCCTACCCAGAGAGCAAAACTCAAGTGCCAGAATCCTTAACCATGACCATAAACTTACCAGAACCAAAACACCATGTAAAGGGCACCATAAGTGCAAAATAAAGCATGTGAAAAGAATAATGGTGATAAAGTAGAGACAGGAAAAACTGAGTAAGGTAGAATTTTTTCCCTTCCTTCCTTCCTTCCTTCCTTCCTTCCTTCCTTCCTTCCTTCCTTCATTCCTTCATTCCTTCACTCCCTCCTTCCCTCTCTCCCTCCCTCCCTTTCAAATGGTACTTTCTGCTATTCTAACATTACCCCCTCTGAAGAGGTAACCCTAAAATCTTCTAGGGGTTAGATAAGAGCTCCCAAATACTTTGGATATTTTTGGCCCTTGTAACAGAGTATGTTGCTAAGAGGCCCAAGGTCATTTTCAAGTCATAAATAAAAGGTAGCTTTCAAGATTTTTAAGCTTACTGCTTAAAACTAAATTTATCCTCAAACATTATCATAAACACAGAAGTAAAAATATGAAGAAAAAGCTCTTGAACTTGTATGTACATCAGAATATTCTATGTGTTCACTTGAGAAAAAAAATCAGATTTCCTTAAAAATGGATAAATATGAACATCATTCTATAATTAGCTTACTGAATTGTTTTAAAATAATTTTAATTCTACTGTAGAAATACTGGCATAGGTATATTTAATATACATACTAGAGTGGCTAAATAAATCTAAAGAGGTAAGTTTCTCATCATCATAGAATTTATGCTGAAATTATAGCAGCATATACATACATATATGTGATATAGTTGATATACTTGTCTGAATTTTATTCTGATAAAACACTGAACATTTTGAAAGATTTCATAACATATGTAAGCTTACATAACTCATTTTTCTCTTGGATTATTCCTATCTCTCTAACTTTAGTGAATAGAGATCAGATACAAACACTTAGACATACATACTTGATTAGGTGTGTAAGGGACTCTAAGCATGTCCCACTCATAGAAGAGACAGCAAGCATGGGAGCATGGGGGTTAATCTACTGTAGCACTGATGGGCTGTGTACTGGACTGATAATGCTTTCCTGATTTTGTTTTTATTTTTCCCCTTGATATTCCAAGACAGAGTCTACACTATGGAACTCACTATGTACCCCAGGTTGGCCTTGAGCTTATAGTGAACTTCTTCCTGACTCAACTTCCCAGTGCTGGGATTATATGCATAAGCCACCTCACTCAGTTTCCTATCCTACTTTCTGAGGGGTTATTTAAAAAATAGTATTTCACTAAAGAAATGAATTGTATCTAACCATACACTCATATTTTTAAAGGCTTATTTAATTTCTACTAATAATAAAATTTCTAGCAAAAAATTACCTTTACTATATAATTATTAACTTACAAAGTGAAGAATGAATCCCCATGAAAACTGTTTTATTTAAATACACAGGCTATATTTCAAACAAGCAAGAATAAACTTAATAGTATGGAAGAGGCTCTCATCAACTGTACTTTAGAATACACTGACTTCATTATGAATCAGCTACATAGGAAATACTGAGTATCCACTCACTAACTTTTTGCTGTAATTTAACTTATAAATATATGCTGATATATAACAATAATTAACATCAAGATAAATAATATAAAAACATTAATAGATTCCTTTATTTAAAAAATAAACCACCAACATATGAGTGAAAATTATAAACTGAAGATGAGAAACTGGAAACCCAGAATCAACTGTCAAATTTAAGGTACATATAAAATTCTGATTAGGCAGAATCACGAAATTTTCCACTATAAGAATGTTATATATAAATGCAGGGAACTCATTTCAAATCACCAGCATTTGAGAGTCTGTTTTTATATTATGCTACATGAATGAGCTATTCAGCACTACATAGACTTTCTTACTGAAAGAAAAAAGCAAGTTCATTAAAGCAGTCACTCCTTAATCTAGCCTACCTTATTTTTTGGATTGGATGTGTTCATTACACTTCGAGTTTCTTTTCCAGTATAAATGACAACACCTATTACAGTACCTGCAAAAACACGAAAGTTGTCCTTATAGAAACACTTGAAGGCAGAAATAACACTTTCTAATTGTTTTGATGGAAAATACATTATACTGTTTGAGCTTATATACATTTAACCAACAGTGTATTTAATTTTGTTAGGTGAAGAAAACCTAACCTCAGCTTTTAAAAAGGACTTAGAAAATGTGAAATGATTTGTTAAACAATACAAATTTACCTATATATAGTGTTAGAAAATGTACTAATATTTTTTTCCCTGACAACAGGAGTGACATAGGCTTTTCCTTACTGTCTATTGAAACAGTAAGTACTTCACTGCTAAAAGGGCATTCAAAGATTGCATTCCTAACTGAAAAATGCACATTGAGCCTCCAAACTAGGACAGGACCAGGAGACCCAGTTCTTTGATTTGAGTGTAGTACAGTGCATACAAGACTAGGAAGAGGCTCTGCTTTCATTGAAAGATGCTCATCATCCAGGACCATACAGCATCAGAGAACTGAGGTGTTGCTCAGTGGAGAGTACTTGTCTAGCATGTGCTGGGTGGGCCCTAGGCTCCATCCTCAGCACCACAAAAAAACAAGCAGACAAGTAAACAAACAGAAAAAAAACCACCAGAAATATTGCAAAAAACAAAACAAAACAAAACAAAACAAAAAAAAAACCAATACTTAATTTCACATTTGGAAGCTACTTATTTTCTTTATGGATGTCTTTAAAAGTTTGGTTTCTTAGTTTTACATGTCATAAGGATGTAATAGTTGTTAAACTTAAGAAAATGATAACCTATAAGCTTTGGCTTAGGACCTACATAACCTACTCATCCCTAGACTGCCAAATATTAAAACCATAGAATCTTTATACTTACAACTATACTGTTTATACTTTTAATTTTGTCCTTAAGATTTTAAAATCTTAATATTAAAAAAAACACTGAGAAAGACATATATACACATGCATTCATATAAAGTACTGAAATTAACAATCCCAATAAAATTTAATTTATACAAAAAATTTTGGCTTGAGACACAGAGGCAGAAACAGTATGAGCTCAAGATCAATCTGGGATACACAATAAGACCCCACTTCAAAAAACAAACAAAACAAAAAACCCTACAGCCTTACAGTGTTGTAGTAACATGTCAAATTCAGCATCATAAGACAAATTACTGCTTGGCTTGGTATTATCACTAATGGCTGTGCTACATATTATATAACTGAAGTTTTTGCTTCAGCAAATTCAGGAAGGGGCAAGGCAACACAGAGTTCCTCAGTAGTGGAATGCAGCCTTCAGGAGTTAATAGATCTTGTAGTTAATAGATCTATTTGAGCACCACTGCAAAGTTGTGAGACTGCAGTTTGCCCAGTTCTAGAAAGGTATGATTGGTTAACAAGGGGCATGGATGCTCACCCAGCTGTACAATTGTTGTCTCTCTGTATTATGATCCATATAAAATTCCTACAAGAGATGACTGCATTCATTGTATAGAAAATATTAATACTTGATGATGTAACACTATCAGACATTTTCAAAAAAAACTTGCACCACAGAATTGTTTCAACACTAAAATAAGATAAAATGTTAAATATGACCTGATCAATATTTTATTCCTATTTTTCCAATTTAATTTAACATAATCAAAATGTAAACTTGCTACTAATCCTGAATAATCACAATCCTATAACAAGGCAAACTGCAAAATTAATTTCTTTTTAGCAATAGGAGAACAAACAAGTCTCAGAGAAGCTTTTAGAATGATTAATCAAGCTCAAAAACTCTGTCCTAAAAGCCAAGGCAGATTATGAACAATGTGGATCCTAGGTTGGTGTAATTTATACTGCTCAAATTAAATGTGAGAAATGTAAGGCTGACAAGAAACACAGTACACATATCAAGGATTTAGCACAATTCCTGATGCTGTAATTGTGTAATCTGCTAACATTTGTTAAAGACCTCCTGTATTCTATCATTTGATTGTTACTAAAAATGATTATTTAGTGTAATTAGCTTAAATGCATTGTTTCTGAGTCTCATGCTTTTTAATTACTAAAACTGCATGAATTCGTTCAGTACTATACTAGGTATGCTCTATCCCCTTGAACAAAGGGTATACGTTCACAGGCTGCTGAACGCTAGCAGCACAGGAAAGGGGCAAGCTGCCAATTTTGAAACTGAGCCATGAAAGGGCAATAAGAGATGACACACTCTTCTACTGCAGTAGATAATGGGAGATAAAATAGGACAAACACAGAATGTTTTCAAATTTCCCAGGAATATTTAAGTAGGAAAATTTCAAAACTTTTAATCCATATTTTAAGTATAAAATTAAGCTCCCGTCCCTGTGGCTCCAACCTGAGAAATTTCTATAATTTCATGAATCATAAATGTGTTTGCATGTTAAAACTAAAACCACAAAAAATTCCCAACAGGTCAGTACCATGTCACAAAAATCCTTAAGGGTAATATGAGATAATATCTAGAATTAAACAAAAAAATTAGTTTAGTTTGTACAAGAAAATATTTTAAAAGACTTTTGAACATTTAATCTTGAAAACCAGTGCTTCTATTTGTCTGATTAAAAAACACTGTAAAAAGATTCAGATGCTAACTGTTCTAAGCAGGGGTACAAGCATGGCATACTTATTACCAACTAGAAACCCAGGCTCTGCACTGGCTGGTCTCTTGGGGGTACAGACTAAAGGTCATTGTGTAATCCAACTGTATGACTTCAAATTTCAGATCATCACATCTGCACATGAAGAGGCCAGTTATTGATGCTTTGGCTAATATGTGGCCTCCCTATTAGCCACTTCCAAAAAAAATTTATACAAGAACCTATCAATTTCAAATTAATAGTAGAGCTATATTTTAAAGGAAATATTATTCCCATGAAAACTAAGAAAAAAAATGCTAACAACATCAACTTTAGGGGCAAAGATAATCTTCATACAAACATTTAACATATAAGACCAAAGAACATAGTCCAGAAAACTGACTACTTTCTTTAATATTTTAAATGATCAGCCTCTTATATTTTCAGTTGCTACCTTTTAACCAGAGATGGCAGCATGTAGAATTCGCTTATTATCAACCAATGCTTGCAAACTGAGAATTACTTCAGATGATCTAGAGAAAAATACATATATGTGCAAAATAAAAAACCTAGGCCATTTTAACAAACTGATTAATGACTTTAAACTAAAAGATAGTGGGATGCTTTCTCAAAAAAGTGCAAAGGAAGGAAGGAAGGGAGGGAGGGAGGGAAAGAGGGAGGGAGGGAGAAAAATAAAGTAAAATAGTGATTGTGTTTTGTCTATGTATGAAAGAGACAGCTGTCAACTGAAGTATATACAAGCTATTGGTGCTGCTTCCAGAATCTGCTAGGTACTATAGGGACAAGCTGTTAGAACCACAGTCACAAGCCAGGAAAAGAATACAGTTGACAGATGCTCTCTGCTACCTGCCTTCACAGACACTAGGGTCCATGCTGCTGCCTATCAGGGAGCTTCACAACCTGGCCTGAGAGAGAGGTGAACAGGCGGCACAAAGGATGGTACACTGTCACAAGTTGTTCAAGCACCAGGTGCATAATGACTAGAGGTGACAAAGAACTGAGCCTTAAGAAGTCAACATGAGACCGGGGTTGGGGACTCAGCAAAGGACACATAAGGTAGACCTGCACCTAAGTGCAGACTCCACATGGCTAGAGACAAAGGGAGAGGAACATATGGAGAGGAACATACAAGACCAGCACCAGGAACACTCCACATGGTTAAGGCTACAGAGAGACCTATACTCAGGTCTGAGGGACATAAATTGTGGCCATTAAAATCAGCAGGTCAACAGCAAGCTCAGAACAAGATTCTGATGTCCACCTCTTCTGCCTACACAAAAGGCTGTAGGAAAAAACAGGCTTTAGCAGAAGCAGTGTCCACCTTTGTGCTATATACATGATGTTCAGTTGCAGCCTCTCCCTGGCTACTTCTCATGCTCTCCACCTCCAAGTCTAGTCATTGTCCCTAACACCACAGCTTTCTATGGTTGGTACTAAGTGACTTTCCCTGGGACTGCAGTCTCTTTCCATTCTAATCCTAATTTTTATTGACCTATGGCTAGAGCAGGAGTATACCAAAGTATATGCAGAAAACATCTAGATCTCATTTTGAGAATTAACTCACATGACTGCCCCTTTGGTAAAACACAATAAAAATGCATTAACAGGGGAACAAAAATAAAGGCCAAGCAAAAGAAAATATATCATATTTTAGCATTAATAAACTATACCAAATGCCTACAAAGGTTTCCAAATGTTTATTCTCAATTTATGCATTTACCAAAATGAATCATCTGCTCCTGAAAGTCTCCATCTATAAACAATCTACACCCTGCTCTAGAGGGCTGGGATCCTAGAAAACCTAATCTATGCACATACTTTCTTCTTTAGAAAATTTACCTTCCTTTTAGGTTCATGGCAACTCCATGTAAAGACCTGACTTGATTTAAAGGAGTAGTATTCTCTGAATCAACAGGGCAATGCGTGTACAGAGCAGCACGGAATGGTCTCTCTGTCCTGCCTTTGGTCACCTGCCACCCTATGTGTCTGTTTAATTTGAATTCCTATCCTCATACATTCAAAACTCTATGATGAGGAAGAAGACCAGAATTAACTTCATTGTAACAGCCACTCTGGGGTTAAGATTTAACTCAGCAGCAGAGTATTTGCCTATCATGGGCTAGACTACTGGTTCAATCCCCATCACTGCATTAAAAAAAAATGTTACCTTGAGTCCAGTTAAAAAGACTTCTCAACTTATAATCAGTAATAAAAGAGTAAGAACCCTTAGGTTCCAGGATACTCCAGGAAATCTTAGGCTTGCAAATAGTCCTAATGACTCAGTGTTTTAAAGTAAAGATAAGCATTCTTTAAAAGATTTGAAATCGGGCCGGGCGTGGTGGCACACGCCTTTAAGCCCAGCACTTGGGAGGCAGAGGCAGGCGTATCTCTGTGAGTTCAATGTCAGCTTGGTCTACATAGTGAGTTCCAGGACAGCCGGGGCTACAGGGAGACCCTGTCGCAAAAAAGACCGAAAAAAAAAAAAAAAAAGACTTGAAATAAAAGAAAACAATTATATCTTTAAATATCCAGACATAAATTAACATTAAAAGAATACTGGTTATTCTTCCTGGGTAGATGGTCTAAAACAACTAATACATTCTCTGAGAGGATCAAGAACCTGACAAACCCAACACTACAAGGGACAGAGGATTTTTAAAAAGGGCTTCAAGATGACAGCAGTTATGTTGCCTCTGTTACGTGTCCCTGCTGCCTAAATACACAGGTAGCAGCTACTGCATGTCAAAGTCATCCAGAGAACTAAGGTCGCACAGAAAATCTATGTCCAAGAAATTTTATGGGATGTCTCAGAATCCTCTAGCTCATGTTGCTTCTGTCTCTGAGGGGGAAAGCCACAAATCAGTAACAGTACTGGGGTTTGGTAACAACAGTCTAACACATATTTAAAATAGAAACAAAATCCAAAATATCAAGTAAAATGTAGTTTTAAAAGAGAACGTCTAATCTCTACTTGATCCTTAAATTAACACCATAAATAATATGCTAATGATAGAAGATTTAAAATTCTAACCAAATGGGCTTATATGTCCCATATGACAGATGCTCATATACAGTGATGCTGACAGAGGCCAATAGCCTCCCAGGAGGGCATACCTAGACTCAAACCCTGGTGTGAATGACACACAGCTCTGTGTCTGGACACATAGGGACCTTTTGATGCATCCTGCATCCCAGGAGCACAACTGACAGTGACACAGCCTCACTGAATGGAGACAGGGCTCAGCAATATGTAGGGCTCAGCAATGCAAACCAACAGTGACATGAGGAAGACTGAGGACAGCCTAGGGCTTTCTAGACTGTAATAGGCCCCTTTCCATGGTGACTGCAAAGACCCTGACTGTGATCTCCAGAGCCCAGGACCCAGTGTTCCCACCATTGAGGTGTTTGACTAGAGAACCATTCTTGCTTCTCTATCTTTGCATTTTAAAAAATATGTGGTTATAAAAATATCAATAACCTAAAAAAATGAACACTCATAAGAATTCTCATGTTTGCCTTCCAGTTTGTTTTAAAAATGTGAAACAGTAGAATAAACCTGAATCACTGAATCCTCTTTCATGTTCCATCCCTAAAAGGGTGAACATCTTTACTACTCCAGGATTCTGTTGTATACTTTGGGGTAAAACAGCCCCATTTAAACAAAAGATCACAGAACTGCCTTGCTGAGTCTACACCCCTTCCCCCAACACACAAGCACACAGACATATGCACATGTACACACACACACACACACACACCCTGGGGCTAGGCAAACTGGTACTTCAGCCCCCTTCTTAAGAGCATTGTGTCTTCTCAGCACTGGGTCTTCTCCCAGTTGTCTCTTTGGCAAGAATATTTCAATGACCTTCCTATTATTGTCACACCTACTTCTCACCTGCATGTTCCTTTAATCTATTTTAAACACCTCTTCCTCAGAGAATCTTTGCCTAGACTATGTCTGTAAGGTTCTTGTTTTACATACTTTCAGAGTATGTAGTATGTTTTAGAATAACCAAAATTATCTGAACCATTTTCTTAATGTATTTCCTACCTACCATAGCTATCTAAGGACATGCTTCAATACCATCTCATACCAGATTATACCACCAGTATGGAAGGGAAGCTGACATGCCATTTGAAACCACTGGGTAAATAAGCAGGTTCTAGAAAAGAAGGGCTAATGGCACTGTGCCATACTAAGAAGACAGACAATTCTAGAATGCTCTGCTAGTAATCCTAAACTCCTTTGTCCTCCAGTGTCCTCTCACCTGGTGTGTTCAATCACCTGTGTTCCCCAAGATGAAGCTTCACATCTCCTCCTATCTCTGATGTCAACTAATTTTTTTGTGAGATTTTTCTCCTAATAGCATCATTGACCAGGTAATTACTTCTGACCAGGTAATAACTTCACATTTTTATACTTCTCCCGAAATTTTATTTTCAAAACTGTCAATTTAAAAACACTCTTCTTTAACCACTTGGAAGATTCCATAATTTTCCAATATTCCTCAAACGAAATTCAGAATCTTCTGCTACCTCCAAATTTCTAGTCTATTCTATCTCTACTAGCCTTTCTGGTCTCATCTAACCCTTTTCTTCCCTCTAGTTACCCCAGTCAACCACCTCCAGTGTTTGTTAGATGGACAAGAAATCATTAGGAACCATCTAAAATTACCACTGGCCTGCCTCTCCAGATCTTCTGTGCCACCACTTTTCAAAGCACACTGTCATGCAACAAGAAGCACATGTTAAAACCCAGAAAAATGGCCTGTACTTTTCCATAAACGTTGCACCACGCCCTCATGCTTCTGACCTTCCTGCTCCAAATGCCATGGGTGACCAGTTGTCCAGGCCTCCCCCAGCATCTCAAACTGTTCCATAGTTTCCAAATTGGCAGTTCCTAAACACCTGAGGGAAGGTTAAGGAAGCTGTTTGGAGTACCTGCACAACACTAAGCATCCTCTGTCTGAGGTTCGTACTTGAAGAGGTACTTCTTCCTTACCTGATGCAACAATGGTGCTTGCCCACAGTGTGTTTTCTATGCTGAGACTTTCATGAATGGCAGGATCACTGTCTTCCTGTAGAGAAAAATAAAACAGAAAAATGATCTATTATTTCATATTTTAGTCATCTACAGTATTAGAAAAGAAACATGATCCTTTTCTGAACCCAACTGATCAGCAGTGAAAAGGACTGCAAACACAATTTCAAAAGGGAATATAAAAACCAAAATGAGCTGGGAATGATGGCACACGTCTGTAGTTTCAGTGCTTGGGAGGCAGAGGCAGGCGGATCTCTGTGAGTTCAAGGCCAGCCTGGTCTACCTAGTGAGTTCCAGGACAGCTGGGGCTACAGGGAGACCCTGCTTCAAAGAGACAAAAAAACAAAAAAACAAACAAAAAAAAACCAAAATGACAATTTGATGAACCAAATTTATGCAACTGTTTTTAATACTCAGCCTTACTATAAATAATAACTTAAAATTTTCATAGATGGGGGCTGGAGAGATGGCTCGGCGGTTAAGAGCACTAGTTTTTCTTGCAGAAGACCTGGGTTTGAAACCCAGCACCCACATGGCAGCTAACAACCATCTGCAACTACAGTTCCAGGGGATATGATTCCGCTTCTCCCCTCTGTGGACACTGCACGACACAGGTGCACTTACACCCATGCAGGCAATACACTCATACACATAAAATATTAAATTTCATAGATGTACTCACTGTACATTCTGATATTTTTATAGAATATGCTAAAATTTCAGTTTGGAACACATGATTTAAATAATACTCCCAGTGTAAGAATCACTGGCCAGGAAAGGTGGAAAACATTAACACGGACTTAATTACAAATAAACTAAGCTATGTTTCACAAGCATGGCAGAATTTCCTAGCTTTTATATAAAAACTATTCTTTGAAGTGTGTATATGCTTATAAATAGGGAAAATACTTCTGTGAGTACCACAACAAGAGAAAGAGATTTCTCTTAAATTCCCCCTTTAAAATATTATTGCCGGGCGTGGTGGCACATGCCTTTGATCCCAGCACTCAGGAGGCAGAGGCAGGCAGATCTCTGTGAGTTCAAGACCAGTTTGGTCTACATAGTGAGTTCCAGGACAGCTGGGGCTGCAGGGAGATCCTATCTCAAAAAGCGCCCCCCCCGCAAAAAATGTATTGTGCAGTTTCTGTTTTAAATATAAAAACTTATGCTTAAACTCACAGGTAAGTGTAGTTCTTACTCCTCATCAAAGAAGCTTCTTTTTGGAATAGATGGAGACAATGACAGAGAAACACAACTGGTCAAAACACAGAGAATTAAGTGACTATTAGGATGCCAAACTGCAACTGACACACCTAAAGCGAAACCCCTACACCTAAGGCTTTGGAAACATTGCAGAAGAGGAGCAGAAAGATTATAAGAGGCAGAGGACCAGGATGCCTGCTGCTACATAGTGTCTTCTAGATGTGACAAAGAAGCTGTACCCATGAAATTTCAACAATACAGTTGCTTAAATGAGACCTGCATAATGACCACATCAGCTGGCATGTCAACATAGATGGGGGAAATTTCATAAAGTTGCATCTTTAGATGAAGAGCTACAAGCAATGAACTGAGAGAAGAATCAGTTTTCTCCAGGGATGAGCTACATTACCCAATCCCAAGTGGCCAGCCTTAAACACATATACATACTAGCACCACTAAATGGACTCACTAGGTTATATATATACACATATATATATGTACATGTATATGTACATATATATTCACGTGTACATATACATGTCTATGTAACAATACTAATTAAAGGTCAGGATATTGAGAGGGAGTGGGGGTAACATGGGAGGAAGTTGGAAGGGGAAGAAAGGTAGAAATGATGTAAATACAATATCTATGTATGAAATTCTCAAAAAAATATTTAATTTAAAAATAAACTATTGGGGCTGGAGAGATGACTCAGAAGTTAAGAGCACTTGCTGCTCTTGCAGAGGACCTGGGTTCAATTCCCAGCACCAACATGGAGGCTAACAACCATCCCTAACTCCAGTTCCAGGGAATACGGCGCCCTCTTCTGACCTCTGCAGGCACTGCACGACATGGGTGCACTTACATACATGCAAGCAATACACTCAAACACATAAAATAAAAATATTTTTAAATAAATAAACTATTATATTGAATATTTTTATTAAGCAGAATTCACATATAAGGTGTATATTGCTAAATGTGTAAATGTAAATCAAATGTACCAAAATAGCAATATCACAATAGTGGCACATAAAATTCAGTTTTATCTTTACATGTTTCATGTTCAGAGTCAGAGAGACAACATATAATCTAAAGATTTCATTTTAACCTAAAACCACAGCCTACATTGTGGTGATAAAGTTCTTTCTGACGTAAAGAATAATAAGAGCCACATCCTGTTCTCATTCTAGCTGTGGGCACAGGCTCACTTCTGCTCTTGGCACCACAGACCTCTAGACTACCCTCTTGGCCTAGATCCACCCACTGCGTCCTGATCCTTTGCACCCAGACCAACCCAATTCTTCAAGTTTCCTAGAGTCTTCACAGTCTGACCCCCCCACTCCCAACTTGCCTTTGCACACCTGTGATCAGGCTTCTTCCATTGGGGTGGCTGTCCCCACCCCCCAACCTGTTTGGGATTCCTAAGACCAGCCTCCTTTCCTGATAAGTTTGAAAGCACCCGCTAGACCTAGACTTCCACAACCTGATTCAATCTCCCAGTCCCCACATCCTGTTCTCCTTCTAGCCTTGGAGACAAGCCTGCTTCAGCTCTTAGCACCCCAGAACTCTGGACTACACTTTTGGCCCAGACCTACCCACTGCATCCTGATCCTTTTCACCCAGACCAATTCAATTCTTCAGTCTAGTTTCCTAGAGACTTCACAGCCTGTCCCCACCTCCAACTTGCCTGGGATTCCTGAGACCAGCCTCCTTCCCTGACTGCCTGAGATCCCCAGAATACTACCTCCTCCTAGTAAGCCTCCCAAATTATACTGTACCTGGTGACTAGAGGGATCCAGATCTTAGGAGGAAGCCTACGAGCATCTGATCCTCATCCCACTTGGGCCTCTATGGAAACTCCTGAGCAACTGGACTAAAGCCAAAAGAGAGAACCTGAAGCCTAGACCAACCAGCTTTTGATACCCACTAAGAAAACAACAAAGGTACATCTAATATACAAACAGAAACAGTTTTAAACTCAACAAAGGAAGGATTGAGTCTCATACAAAAAACAACAAAAGAAATCTACATGTCAAAGTCACAATGAAAAAATAACATGAAAAACCCAAATAATATGTCCCCATCAAGCACCAACAGTCCTATAGAGAAGATCTACAATGAGAACACCCTAGAGATAACCCAGGACACAGAATTCAGAAGAGCAATTATAAACATGATAAAAGAATGAATTTAAAGAACACATAAACAAAGAAATCAAAGAACTGAAAGAAGATAGGAATAAACTTCTTAATGAATTCAAAAAAGAGTTAGAAATATTGAAGAATACTCAGGCTGAAATGAAGGAAGTGAAACACTCAGTAAGCCAATTAGAAATGACAGAAGAAAGCCTCACCAATAGGATGAATAAAATGGAAAACATATCAAGACTAGACAATAAAGGTGATGAATTGAACTGCTCAAGTAAAGATTATGAAAAATTGAAGAAAACACTGGAATGGAATATGCAGGAATTGTCTGACACCATGAAAAGACCAAACTTACGCATCATAGGCATAGAGGAAAGAAGAATCTTAGGATAATGATATGGACTAACTCTTCAACAGGACTGTAGAAGAAAATTCCCCAAATTAAAGAAAGACATGCCCATACAAACACAAGAAGCACACAGAACACCAAATAGACAAGACCAGAAAAGAAACTCCCCACAGCACATCATACTAAAAACACTAAATGTACAGAACAAAGAGCGAAAACTGAAAGCTGCAAAAGAAAAACAACAAATCACATACAAAGGAAAACCTGTCAGAATTATAGCCGGCTTTTCAGTGGAAACTATGAAAGCTCAAAGAGCCTGGACCAAAGTATTTCCAGTTCTAAATGACCACAAATGCCAACCCAAAAATGTTTATTATAGTAGAAGGGAAAAGAAAAATCTTCCACAACATAAAAAGGCTGAAAGAATTCATGTTCACAAAACCAGCCCTTCAGAGAATTCCTGAAGCAATACAAAGAGCTGAAGAAAGGGATGACTATACCCAACGGGTAACAGAAAGAAACTAAGTGAAGGTATAACTGTGGAGACACACAATTAGACCAAGAATGCAAACAGAAATCAAAATGATAGGAACCAATACAATCTTTCAATAATAACTTTAAATTTCAATGGACTGAACTCCCCATTCAGAAGACACAGGCCAGTTGAATAGATTAAGAAACAAAATCTATCTTTTTGCTGTCTGTAAAAAACCCATCTCACTTTCAAGGACAGGCACTACCTTAAGGTGAAAGGATGGGAAAAATATTCTAAGAAAATAGTACTAAGAAAAAAGCAGGAGTTGTAATTTTAATGTCTGATATCTAAAATTGACATCAAACTAAAACTAATCAGAAGAGATAAACAGGATCACTTCATTCTGATCAAAGGAACAACTGATCGAGAAGACATTACAATCATGAACAGATATGCACCAAACTCTGTTGCACCCAACTTCATAAAAACAGTATTATAGGACATTAAGACACAGATTAACCCCAACTCAGTAATAGTAGGGGACTTCAATACTCCACTGTCTCCAATAGACAGGTCAATGGGACAAAGAATAAACAGAGAGACGTCTGCATTAAAAAATACCATATATCAAATGGGACAAATAGACATCTACCAAATATTCTACCCAAGCACCAAAGAATATACTCTCTATTCAGTGCCCTATGGAACTTTCTCCAAAACTGACCACATATTGGGGCACAAAACAAGCCTTAATTAAAAAAAAAACTGAAATAATTCCATGCATTTTATCATACCACAATGTAATGAAGCTTAAAATCAACACCAGAAGAAATCCTAGTAACTACATGAACTCATGGAGA